CACTGCCTATGGCCAATTACTGCTTTATGAAAAAGCTTTCCGCAGGCTAGGCAAGGCAATTGAGCTTTTACAACAACTCTTCTGGCTTTACAAATAACATTTTCCACAAAACCGGACGCAAAAGGAAGATATGTGACGTTCGCCGTGCGACCCTAAGCCGACCAAAAGTATACTAACCGCAAACGGAACAGTCGTTTTTAGTCAGCTGACATGTGGCTAAGCGGCCCAGGGCGAATTTAGTCAGTGTGATTAGGCTCCTAGTTCAACTACACACGGTATAACAACCGTGTATAAACAAGTCACCGATTTTTTTTTTTTTTTTTTATTTCAGTTTTTGGAATGAGTTATTATGCTACAATATTTGAACACTGAGGCTAAATGTTAGCCTAAATGAACTTATAATCAATTTTTTACTATAAATTTATCAAAGACGACCTTTTGTCTAGACAACAGTCAGTCAAACAAAAAATGCATCAAAATATCATTGACCGAACCAAACAAATCATCGAATTTATTGTCAGATTTCAGGTTTTGCAAAATTTACTATTTGTTATTTTTCACAATGTATGATGTGGCAAAATAAATTGTAACGATTCATTTTACTTCTTTTATAAAGAAACATTTATTTATCATTATTATCAGCGTATTTATTAATAATATTAGAACGGTATATAATAAAGTAAATCCTTTACAAACAAACAAAATAAATCTAATCCAGGACGTAAAACCTATACAATTAATTGTTATGTGTCCTAAAATGTCCCACTAACTGACATCCTCTGTTTCCCATTGCAACGCGGGTCTACCATGTGCATCAGTATCCAGATGGGTGAGAACAGCTTATTCTAACACGAATCAATCGTATTTATTTTATATGCGTCCCGACTTAATATATTGGTCTTCAAACACATAATTTTAATGGCTTGCAATGTTGCCCGTTGAAACATACTCCTGGTACTCATCAGGTAATTAAAAAAATATATAATGTATGATATGTTGTGCGTACTGTCAGTGATACTTATAGTTTAAATAAAAAACATTTTGTTGGTATCATGGTAACTCTCTGACTACCCGTATCGCGGTAGCAAATATGAACATTGCAATTTATTACAGTATTGTTTGGTAAAATTAGCGAAGATTTTAAATTAACTCTTTCCTAGTATAATACAGTTTAGTCTATGTGCGACCACTTTTGTTATAACTTGTTTCGCGAACTTTTTTTTAAATTGTTTGAAGAAAAAATAAAAATAAAATTTTGATTTCTTATTTGGCGAATGTTTTTTGCAGACAGAAATAAAATTAACATATTATCGTCGAACGTAATGGCAGAGTTCAATGCTTTAAATTTATACAAGCCTAACTAGGAAGAAATTATACAGATCTTATTTTTGAGCGGCAGGCGTAATAAAATAAAGACAGGCCTTTTTTCTGAAATTTCTAGTTTATTCGTGGCGGTGGATGCGCTAATTGTTCAAAAAATTAAATTGCATTTTTATTCCAAATCATTATTTTTGTGGGCGGCAAGTTTGCTAAACAAGGTGTAAAAAAGTCTCACCTAATTCTCATAAGTATATGGTCACGTTTGTTCATCTGTAATCAGTGCTTTTGATATCGCACGTCTCATAAGCCACCGCGAACACTTTCGAAGTTTTTTTTATGATTTACCTCTTGTCAACAAATACAATCAAACTACTTAACAATTCTAATTGAAAATTAGACACGGCGATGGTGCACCGTAGGCTACGTCAAACTATTAAATAGGCTTAAGCAACAGTATTGAAAAAAATATTACAAAACCGATAAGACAAACAGACCAACACTTTCTCAAGTCCAAGGAAATGCTTGCAGTAGGTAACAGAACAACATGCCTGCTTTTAAGACCTATTTATAAATACGCTTTTACAGGAGGTTCATGATTATAAAATCATTATCCTTTGTTTGTGGAACCAAGGAAGAGTGAACTCTCACACCAAATGTATTTTCTTGTTTACTCCTTGCGTTCAGGCTATTTTTTCTTTTCTTTTTTTTTTTTTTTTTTTTAATGTTTCCTGTTTTTTGTAATTTTTAAAGGTTTCAGAAATTAACATGGTGAAACCTCTCAATTTATATCACGTAAAATTAAGCAAATTTTCCGGCGCCTTCGGCTGCTGGCCCCGAGCCTAGTTACTCACTGCGCTCGCAATGCTAGACCCCCTCCCGATGATACTACCTCAACTTTCAAGGTCCCAAAGGTGATCTCAAATTGGAGGGCGAACTCTATATTTTTTTTAAATTTAATGAGGAGAGTGCCAACATTTCTTTAAATTAATGTACACATTTTGTGCCTAGCTTTTCTAAAAGCTATCAATATTATTTGTATAAATTGTTTGCCTTATGTTTAATAATGAACATGACATAGAAAAACTTAAAAGTAATATCAACTTAAATACACGTAAATTTCACCTAGGCTTAATTCAAGTTCATATTAAATACAAATACAGCATAATATCATTTTGATTTTATTTATGAACTAAAATGAGTTTACGCAGAAAAAAAAACATTGTTAAATACAAATACAGCATAAAATCATTTTGATTGTATTTATGAACTAAAATAAGTGTAGGCAGAAAAAAACCCCATTGTTTTTCAAACTGGATAACGTCCGCAAGCAATCATATCTAAAATAAATATTGATTTGTCTTCTTTGTAGCATACGACTAAGTATGCTACAAAGTTTATAATGACTCAACTGACATGTATATTTGTGAATCTCCATAGGCTAAATTAACGCTCATCTGGGATTCCAATTCAGGCGTTGCATGTCTATCTTCAATTGCAGGTAATCTGCATTCAAACTCTCTATTAGCAAGTGCATTTGCCGTTGTTGGTATTGTTGTTACATAGTCATCCATGTTCATTCCATTTGTAATCTTATTTCTCTTGTCCTTCTGAGAATAATAAAACCTAAAATGCCAAAAAAAAATTTTTTTAAATTAAAAAAAATATCTTGTCAATTAATAACATTCTCTCTTTATGTCAATAACACAACACATTGTCGATTGTTCTAAATACCCTGATAAAACAAAAATTAAATACATATTCCTTGCAGCAATAAACAATTGTATTCCCAAAATTTAAAAAAATTACAATGGATTACCAGAGCTACAATAGTTAAAATGGCTCTGGAAAAAAAAAAGAAACGTTTGCTTAAGCATACACTATGACACGCCAATAACAAAAGAAAGATGGTAAAATAACATACAATCATTCAAGAAACCTAACAAAAAATCATTTGCAATGTGTTAGAAAATTGTTACTTGTGAAAATGGTGATTCTTACGATTGATAGAAATGAAATGCAATAGAATTAAATGTTTTAAAGATTTGGAAATGTTCTTTCTTTTTGTATTGTTTACATATTGGTATAAAAATACTTTATTGCTTTTATTTATGTTGAAGTAGCAGTGACTTTCAGAAACAACATTTTGCCTATTGTGTATCCTTATAAATAATGATAGTGTATAAACGAAACTATTGCTTTATTACTGCCCTCAAACCATGATGCCGGAAAGCCACCATTAATTGAAGCAATTTTTTTTTTCGATTGGAAAAATAATTTGATGATGTCTCTTATGAGATAATCGCTAAAAGAGGGGCCTACACAATATGGAGTGCTCACACTTTTCTCAGCCATAGCTTTTAATTCGTTGTCATTGGCAACGCGTTTTGTTGATGATTATCTTGTAAGCCTGATACTACGTCTCATTAAAAAATATATCGGGCTGACATAGCAAAATAAATAAAATTTAGGCCTAAATATAATTTTTTTAAATAGGGTCAACATTTTATTTGAATTTTATGAATAGAATATATTCATGCAATCAAATTAATAAGGTACCATATAAATGCATATATTAATGCTAGTGACGATTATTACAGAGGTAAATAAATAAGAAAGAGAACCAGCGAAAAAAGTGAAAGCTACGACGTTACTTTGAAGAAATTAATCATTTTCATCACTGTAAAATAGAAGCAATAAGCTGAAGATATCATGTCCACCGCCAATGTCATCATCTGAGTCGTAATCGTCAACTTCTTTAAATAGCAATTAAATGAAATTATTAATACATACAGTAAATAACAATACGGCATTATAATAGCCTAATTTCGGCCAGATACAAAAAATTTACCTGCAGAAGTAGATCAATGCTGGTAAAATCACTAGAACAAGAGCACAAACAGTTATTAACGCTATAAGGTAAAGATGGACTGATGGTGAACTTTTGTAATCTGAAAACAGAAAGGGATTAACATTATTGTCTATGAAGAAAACATTGTCTAACTGGTATTCAAACTATATGGGTCGCGACCTAAAGTAGAATTGCCAAGGTATAATTTTGTAGTCGCCGGACATTATGAAAAGTACAATTTATGAGCTGAAGTGACTGCGTAAGATATTAGATTTTCCGCTAATCACTGCCTTTTTTATATTGTTGCAAGAACCCACATAACAGTAGCTTAAACGTACGAAAAAATAAACGTGCATTTGTGGGAACTATAATAACTGGATTGCTCATTGGCTGCTTTTAGTGAGGCCACCGAGGGCCTAAGTGACGTAACATTTTATACAAGTTTCCTTTGGCATTTGTTTAAATTATTGTTAAAAACTTTTTTAATAATAAATTTGAATTTAACGTAATGATTATTATCATCTATCTACTTGATGTGACTTTTTATGCAGTTTAAGAAAGCGCAGCAAAGTTATTTGCGTTGTTAGTGATCGACGTCACCATAACAACGCGACTTCAATCGCGCTTTTAAAAACTGCATAAACGGTCGCGTCTAGTAGTTAGATGGCTTGAAAAAATTCCTACGTTAAATTTAAATTTATTATTGAAAAGTATTGCAAGAATTGTTATTTATAAAAATGCCAAAAAATGCGTCGGAGGCCTCACTTTTTTCTGTACCATGATTGGCCGATGAGAAATCCAGCTATTATCAGTGGTGGAACACGTGTATTTGTATAACACGCGCGTATTACTGGCCCTGTTCTGATTGGTCAGTTGTTAAGTTTTATTGATATTCCATTTTTCAGCACGTTTGAGACCCTAAAAAAGGGCTCGCTAGATTCACAGAAGTCCATGATAGTGCCAAACTTTTGTTTGTGACTATAGTAGGCCGATTTTTTTTTTTGTGTATATCTTTTTTCATTTTGTCTTCAACATTTGCTCCACAGGGATTTTTAGCAATTCGCTATAAAATGGGAAAAAAAATCAGTCGTGGCGCCAGAATTTGTCTGAACCTTTCTTTCGCAATGGATGAGGAGGGGTAGTTTGGAAGGAGTCAGGTCTACAGTATGATTAAACCATTCAGAGTAGTAGATCCAGAGAGATACCCAGAGAGATACCTTCGAAAGCTCTGATAATCTATAAATTTAAAATTTTACCTAGTAACGGACATTAATATTATGCCTACCCTCTTCACAGATAGTTCCGGACAATCCTCGGACAAGCGAATATTAATAAGCCTACGTATATGTATTGTCAACAAATCGTTATCCGAGTTATCATTCACGATCGTCATGACTGTATACAGTACCAAGTGACTCAGGATAATGTTAATGAAAAAAATATAATAAACCTTATAAATAGTATGATCATCATCTATCATCTTTAGTTATTATAGATTATATATGATAACCATTCATTTATTCTGCCATTTATTCAGCGCCTTATAAAATTATACGGATTGACTACAACTAGCATACCCCTACTTTTTCGCAGAGATTGGACTCACGCTAACCGATCGCCTAATCGCCATGAGCGAAAACTATTTCGGATTGGTAAAAAAAATCAACTGCTTTAGCGATTTTGGCTAAAGTCTAGGAAAATATTTAAAAAAAAGTTTTAAGTACTTGCTACAATACATCGTCTTTTTCATTTGAGCTTCATTTTTCGCTAACTCCATGACACGCTTATTTGTGTTGTTGTATGAGTAGGTGATGCAAACGTCATTCGTGCCTCGCAAGTTATTTTTTTATTGTAATTGTTTTTTTAACGCGGTAGATGCTGGGCAGTGGCTGTATGACGTAGACTAATATGAAGGTACCACTAGCTTGTGTTTTCCCACTAAAACTCGAAGGCGAAACAGTAGGCCTATATCCTAATATCGATAGTAATAATTTAATCAGTGATTTCGTGTTATTCTCAAATACGTAAAATACATTTAAAGAATGTGTGAAATAATTTAATAATGTACCTGTGGGTCGCTTTGTTACACGGTTTACGTACTTGTGTTGTAGAGAGAGTAATTTTGCAAGCAAGGTTAGCCTAGCCTATGGCCTAGATCGTGCACGCTCTTGATTATCGCTGTGACAATTCTTCGGGTGACAGGCGATCGCGGCCCAAGCCAATTTTAAATATACTGTAGTCTAGTAAAACTATCGCTAGATCCCCACCCCCGATATCGTTCAAAACTAAAAAGAAAATATTGTATAGGCTAAGCCTACATAATTTTATCAACTTTTGCGATAATAGGCGTATATTCAGCAAACTTTCTAAGTACCTCATTTATTGGTATGCTAAAAATATTAATTTTCCTGTCAAATAACGTTATCCCTCCCCTGCCCACCTCCCTGAACCTACCAGAGATTTTTCTGGTACCATCATCGAGACAGGGGTGGGGAAACCTCCCCGCCCCCTTTTTTTTGGAAAGTAAAAAGAGAAATAATTGATTTTCTAAAAAATGCACCAGAGGCTTATTTTTAGGCATTTTTGGGAAAGAATAAAATACTGTAGGACCTCATAGAATAGTGTTTTCTCGATCGCCTCCCTCTTCCTCTTGTACATCTCTAGATCCGCCCCGGCTGGACTCTAGTCGCGGCCCCTTGGTTCGGACTCCACTTTCAAACATATTGGACACCATGTCCTGTCAGCTATTTTTGGCTAATGATTTTTTACAATTTTCGTCAAATTTTTGCTAAAGACAGCTTCAATTGGCTAAATAAAATTGTTGACTTACGAACAATAATGTTGTGTCTGTAACCGTGTCTCCGTCGTTTTGCTGTGTTATATGGAACGCCAAGGAGCAGCATTCATCGTACAGATTTGCAGTCTAATTTGGAAAGCCAATAAGGCAACTTTAATGAAACACAGTCATTTTTATCAAGCACAATCGGTTTTCGTGTTCCCAGTGAATTCAGTAGAACTATGCTTGACCAAAAATATGATATTGCATGACACCTATTGAAAATCACGTTAGTTTCAAGGAAAATGGTTGAAAGTACAAGATATTTCCCCATACTAATTAACACTGCTTTTTCATCTCATTTTAGTAGTTTTTCTAAATGTTTTAATGCTACGAAAAATGATTGAAACTGCGTGTTTTTGCAATCTGTAACCGTGTCTCCGTCGTTTTGTGGTGTTATATGGAACGCCAAGAAGCAACATTCAACGTACAATTTTGCGGTCTTATTTGGAACGCCAAAAAAGCAACTTTCAAACACAGTCAATTTTCGTCAAGTACAATCGGTTTTCGTGTTCTCAGCGAGTTACAGTAAAACTATGCTTGACCAAAATATATTATATTATATGACACCTATAGCAAATCACGTTAGTTTCGAAGAAAATGGTGGAGAGTACAACATATTTCCCCATACTAATTAACACTGATTTTCCATCAAATATCAGTGGCGTCTAAATGTTTTAATGCTACGAAAAATGATTGAAACTGATATCTAAAGCACGCAACCTCTCTACTTTTATGGTTATTTTAATGTGTACTGGTTCATCTAAGTCATAGTAATGCATTTTGTTGCTTAAGTCAAGCCCTATCTAGCATTTAAATGTTTATTGTTTTCACATATTATTGTATTTTATTGTCACGTTGTATATGTTGGTCGACTAAGTGAATAAAATGATATACAAATATTGAAATCAATTATGACGTTTGAACACTGCAACATTTAGAGCGGAGGCAGAATTCCAGTGTGGAATAAATAAAATACAGCACTTACAGTTACTTGAGATAATAATGATAATGATATATGTTATGAAAATTATAATGACCATCATTACCACCTATGTCACCATAGATGCCAGCGTCGTGGCAATCATTCATTCATATTGTCATTTAATCAGCGCCTAATAAGGATATGGATTTACAACGAGCATCACCCATACCTTCTCCACAGAGAGTTCCTGTAAATCCTTCCGGACAAGTGCATTGGAACGAGTTAAATAAGTCATAACATGTACTGTTGTTTTGGCAAGGACTACTTGCACACTCATCCACTTCTAAAACAATATTTCAAAAAAAAAAATAGTAACTACAGTATGGTATGAATTTATGTTCATTATAACATTATTTACATAAAATATATAAGAAGATAAATCATACATATTATTTATGTCCACATAATGAAAAATAATATGAACAATAACAAGCAAAAAAGAACACATAACATATAATATTATTATTAGTAATAAGATAATAGTAATAGTAATATTCTGAAATAGGTCTACATATTATTTCTATCACTCTCGCTACCATTCACAACATCGTCATCCTTTCTAAATTATACAATACAGTACTTACAGTGACCTCAGACAATAATGAGAATGGTATATATTATGACAATGATGATATCTTCATCATCATATATAACCATCTTTGTCACAAGATGCTAGTGTCGTGAGAATTATTTACTCATTGTGTATTAATCAGCGCCAAACGACCATACCCATACTGTACCTTCTTCACAGTGAGTTCCTGTAAATCCTTCCGGACAAGTGCATTGGAACGAGTTACATGTACCGTTGTTTTGGCAAGGAGTACTAGCACATTCATCCACTTCTAAAATAATAGTTTAACACCAAATTTAATAAATGAGTACAGTGCAATATGTGTTCATAAAACATAATGCCTAATATATACATTCTTATTCTTCCTCATTATTGCCAACCAAATAAACAGCTTGATCGAAGGGCCTTGTCTCCAAATAAACCTAATATATAACATTTGTATGAAAAGCACTTCCATCCAGTAATTACAAAACAGATATTAAATCATTAAACCTTAATAAATGTTATATAACAGTACAATTAATAATAATAAAAATATTAATAATAATAATAGCTGTAGTATTAATAATAAGATTAATAATAAGAATTAATTATATAATAATAATAATAATAATAATAATAATAATAATAATAACAGTATTAGTATTAATAATAATTTTATTTAAAATTCGTTTTACATAAAACTAAAAATTGCTTACATTTTAAAATTATAAGTCTGACATACATTTTATCATTATTATACATTGTAACAATATTATGTGCTCTACGTATCCTATTTATTATAAATAATCCATTATATTCATTTAATGTTATAACAAATAAAAACGTTGTGTTTTATATTTAGAGGGGCATTGTTACTGCTTTACTTACGGTAAATATGTAATCCTCTAGTTCCCAGATTCAAGTCTACATACTCTGTACCATCACTAATCTTGTATCGGTTAAATCGTTTCAGACCAACCTTATTGTCTGTCCAGTATAAATACTCGGCATGTATCGCTATAGAAAAACAACTACCAACTGTATCATAAACGCCATTGAGTGTTTCTCGGAAATTACCCAACAAATCTGATTTTTCAAATGTCTCGTTATCTGAATCGCACCAATATAATATACCTGCAATATGTTAAACATTTAGAGAATGTATTGATTTAATACATATTTCTTATTTCAGTTCAAAGCAATATAAATGTACAAGCAATAACGCGACAAAAGCAGAAACAATTAGCTAATTAATGTAACTTTTCTTTTTTTTTTGTTGAATTATATAAATTACAGCTATTACTCTTATCTATTGAGAAACCTACTTTTAATGATTAAATTTTATTAAATACATTTACAAAATTTGGTCAAACTGCTGTATATATTTAAACAAAAATCATGCTAACATAACTGGTTTTCGTAGGATTAAACTTTACAAATGTATTTTCATTTTGTAGATGATCTTGAAAACTACCTCAAAATTGCGGAAAATATGTGTGGAATTCGGCTCTTATATTGCAAAATGTACTTTTCCGACATGCGCTGTTGAATGGAACAGTCAATCTTTCAACGCATGGAACTTTCTTACCATTGCACTCATAAACATTCTTTTTTTGTATACTATTCAATTTCAATTAAATTGCTTCAAATGCCGTCAGGGGTCAATATCAGCTAGGGATTACACAAAGAAAAACACAACCACCACCCCCAAAAAAAAAATAAAAGTAAAATATAAAAAAAACCCATGATAAATATAAACAGTATAAACATATAAATACATTTCAAACAAGATAATCTGAGGTTACAATCTCTCTCCCTGTTGCGTCATATCTACAGTCAGACGTACTAGATCCCGGTTGTTGGTGTATTATGGTGCAATAATGAAGCCGAAGTCTTGAGTTCAAAACTCCCTCTTGTTGTTGCTGCTGTTGTATTATATTATTATTATTATTATTATTAGCTTAGCTCAGTCGGCTAATCTAGTGGTAGCCACTGTGTTTGCGCTGAACCGTGGAGATCTCTAGGTCCCCGGTTCAATTTCCATCGCTGCATCTCCTTGTGTTTCAGCTAGAGGGCTGAAATACAAGTTACAATAGCGCACCGTCTTTCGGATGAGACATTTAAACAGTTGGTCCCTTGTGCAATATAGCCCATGTGCACGTTAAAGAACGCAGTACACTCTTCGGAAAAGAGTAGGGGATTGTCTCCCGGTACTGCAGTGCCCAATCACCACGAGAAGGACCCCACTGGAAATAAGTCTTCTTCTAGACTTTCGAGGGCTATCCTTGGTCCCTGGTCCTTTGGATAATTTTTCTAAAATTCTTTTCAATCAAAGCAGTATACAAACACACCTAGTTGAATTAAATCCCAATTGGTAACGATGGTCTCAGCAACAATATGTTGTGTATTGCTGGAGTTTGATGACATAAAATTAAACAAAATAAATTATTATTATTATTATTATTATTATTATTATTATTATTTGTGTAACTTAGAATACTTTTTATATATTTTTCACAATTTTTTTTTTTAAGACAGCGGATGTAAGACGGTTGGAAAATGCTAGAAACATTCTGAAATCTGCATCTTACTTCTCCAATTCATTCGCCAAACAAGTCCTAGCTTTAGCTGTGGTGAAACCCATCAGTTGGCTTACACACCTTCCTGAAGGTAGTTGCTAAGTACAACAGGTTTGGCCGAGGGGAGTGGCTTGTATATGGTGACGTCATGTATAATTAATGCCGTCTCCCAAAAAACATCACGCTACACTCTGTGACCAATGTAAATTATCGAGGCAGGCAGGCTGAGACTTAGCTTAGTTTTCTCTTGTGCTGCTGCTACGGGCGGGTGAGGGACGATCGAGTCCATTTTCAGACGATTGGTCTAAGTAGTATGGACGTTTCGTAGGTCTAGGCTCCTCTAACTAAGCCTGGGCTAGGTCAGACAAGGAGGTCTTTTCAGTAATCTGGGGCCTAGTCCTAGATTGTGCGTCCAGCAACCCGCAGCAGTCCGTCTAGGCCTGTGCCTCGTTTACTTGAAGTTAGGCCTATCTATGCTTATGCAGAATCTGTTGTAAGACCCTCGCCAGGCACTGAAGAATCTGCACTGAATAGGCACGTAATAGCCTACATAACATTTATACAGTACAAGTAATACACGACATTGGAAAGTCAATATATTTACTTAAATTACATATTAACATTTGGTTCCCTTTCACTTTTTCTGGAATATAGCCGACAATATTATTCTTTCAAAGCAGTGAACACTAAAATAAAATCTTAACTTCAGCAGTAATGTTGTAAAAGTTGTAATTTTAATTTATTAGGCCCATTTTCTCTTCCAGTAAGATAATTTTTTTTATAGGATTTATATTTGAAAATCCATAGACTAAGTAGTAAAGGGGTGGCGCCAGGATTTGCCCGGTGTCTGAGGTCCCCGACGAAAAAGAGTTGGCGTGGTCGTTCGCCAACTATTGCTAGGCTTTAATTACTACTATGATAATACATAAGCACATCTAGGCCTAAAGGATTTTCAGGTGATCTCCGTAATATATCTCCATAGATTGTCGGTCCTCCAAAAACAAATTTAATTTGAAATTAAAAGGTGCTCAAAATGGAAATGTGCCAACCATTTACCTTGGAATATGATTGCCATCAAAAGTTGCAGCAACAACAAAAAAAACAGGCTCCCAGCAGGAGCGTGTGTCTATACTGCCTAATATACTGGAGTTTTTGTTTTTGAATTTAAATCTAATGTTCTTCATTATGCAGATGTGTGTATTATTGTAGTGTATCTGGATTTTACATGAAAATTTTCTTTCTTAACAATATTCTGTATACGTTATAGGCCCTATTACACTAAAAACACTGTAAACTGGCCGGTTTTGAAATATCCGGTGTAGACAGCTGTATCACCTTAAAACACTTTAATTGGTCCTCACACGCACACCCCACCATAGATTGACACTAAATATTAGGAGCCACATCCTTGACGTATGGCATATGCTTCGGCAAAGCACGGAAACATTCTAAGCATGGGAAGTGACCAAAGTGACGGCTAGAAAAAAACAGTGCTAAAAGATAGGAAAAATATATGCAAGAAAAAAATGAGAACAAAAACACTGTGAAAAGCCTATAATAGTAATAGTAATATTAATAAAAATAATAATAATGATAATAATGATAATAACCACCACAACGACCACCACAATTATTTCACCGCATAACCAAAAAAATTAAAATAAAATAAATAAACATTAAACAATCTCTAAGAGTAAACTGCGCCTATGAACTTTTTGAAATTGGTGCATTATAAATGTTTGATTATTATTAATATTGTTATTAGTATTGATGTATTATTATTATTATTATTAATTCAGTATTTTTTAAAATTTAAATTGAATGAAATTCAATAGAGGTCTAGTCCAGGTATTGTAATAATTTAAACAAAACTGGCACCCGATACCAAAAATTGTATTCGATACTTGAATGTAGATTATAACTTTATGTAGTTCTAAAGAATATTATGATTTGATTAACAATTTAAAAAAAAAGGCAAATCGAACTGTAACTTAAAAGCGTCAAGCTAATTTTTTTTTTTAATAAGTGACCAGTTAGATTGGTAATTTGTTGAATTTCATGTGTATCTGAAATTGCATTAATTCATTTTGATTCATGCTTAAATTAGTGTCTTACCTGCTGGATCGACGGCGATGGCATATGGTGCCTGTAAACCAGATCCTATGATGATCTTTCGATTAGAACCGTCCATATTGACACGCTCTATCCTGTCAGTTCCAGAATCACTCCAGAATATCCATCTGTTACAACAATTTCAAATGAAAACGCTAAACAGTATATATA